ATATTGAAATTAATTTTCACTTTCAATTTGTATTTCAGTGTAGGTTAATTCTGTCCTCTTTGGACATTTCCAGGCAGGATATTTAGACTTTGCACTGGTCCTGTTCTTCTTGCTTTGAAGGAAGAAATCAAAGGGGTTTTTGTGTGTATTTCTTGTTAATTTCCTCACAAAATTAATTTTCTGCAAAGGTAGGTAGCTCGGGGCAATTTCAATTATTTTTATATATATAAATAATAAAATATATACTTACATATAATATATATGCACATATAAATATATAAATGTAAGTTCTTCTGGGTTTTGTATTTGCAAGGTGAGAGGTTAGAATGTGTATACACAAAATGAGAGGCAAGCCTTGTGTGTATGCATATTTTCTAACATAATGGTAATTTTCTATCAGGATCATGTTAGCAGATGCTTTAGCATAGGCTGAATTCATTTTTGCTATAAAGTGCAACCCTAAATGTTTGCTCTAAAACTTTTCTCACCTTACCAGAAGAGCACTGTACTACAGGCTGTGCTATCACAGCAGACATTTTATTTGTGATCGAATTAGAATCTGGGTCTTGGGATTTGAAAGACAAACGCATTAATCCCCTGAAAGATTCAGTCAATCTCTGTCAATTCTAATCAGGTAAAGGCACTGGTCTTTTTGCTTTACAGCAGTTGGAGGGATTTTTTTTAATTCAGGGAGCTGGCCTTTTTATTTCAAGCTTATTTCATCTTTGAGGTAAAAATATCTCTGTTCTGTGTGAAATGTTGCAGGATTTATTGCACTCATATGGCCCCTTAAGCTATTACAGTTCTCCGTAATTTTTCAGAAGTCTTTTGTGGTCATCAGCACCAGCTAGTAAGTAGGACACAAAATTATGCTGGTTTTGCTAAAACAGGCTGGGGGATGGGAGCAAGGAAGGTGTTAGAGTAGCTTGGAATGTTTGTTACTTGAGCAGATGACTTAAGATCTTGAATTTATCTTGGTTTGAAAGACAGCATCTGAAAAGAAGTTTGGAGCAAGGGTCTGCATTTTACTGGTTTTTTTTGTGCAGAACGTGGACAAGCAGGCTTGCCAGGCAAAGTGAAATGAAATTGGTATTGTACTTTGAAATTGGTTCAGAATGATACATGGAGTTGACTTACAATGCAACAAGTTACTTTGCATTATCCAGGAGAGATCCTGTGATGAAAATATCCTGGGATTAATAGTATCACGTTTTCTGATGCCACAGTACTACTTAAAAATAATTATATGCAGAGGCTCCTAGATGCCATTAAAATAAAGTGGTGTTCATAGTTAGCACAGTGGAATAGACTCTTCTACTGTTTTGGCCAGGATGTACTTTGGAACTGAACTGCCTACCGTGTTCCCTCTCTTAGAAGCATTTTGTGTTTGAAGTATAATTATTTGTCCTAGGAGAGGTCAGGCCCCCCAAATGGCAATGTTAGATTCCCTGGCCAGTGTGCTACAAGATGTATATCAGTAATACATGTTTTTCCTGGAAATACTTAGACTTCGCTGAGATGCAGTGGCTCACTGTCCAAAAACCCTTTGCAGAGGGAAAGTAGCAGGCTGAAACTGAATCAAAGGGTTAAAAGAACTTAGAAGCTAAGAATGTAGCTAGCAAGAGAGAGGCAGTATGTTTTGATTGAGGGGTAGAAACTATGTAAAGGATTAATTATTAGATGGACCTAGTAAAGCTAAGTCAATGTATTATTTGCTTGACTTAGTTGTGTTTGTAGAAGGAGACAAGAAAGATGAGCCATTGTGAAGATGAAGAAACCATAACTGCACCTGGGCCCAGAAACCAGCCAGAACCAGGATGGGAACCCATGGCTTATGTCCAAGAGGCTAGGGAGCCTGCCATCAAGAAAAAGGTGAAAAGTTTAGCACGAGGACGACACCCGTGACTTCATCTTAGGAGACCACTGACCCATTTCAGAACCCACTGAGCCATGTGAATGAAGAAACTGCACAGGCGTGAAAGGACTTTGAATTAATTTTAATACAAAGCAGGGGTAGGTGGGGTTAGGTAATGTGTATGTATAGGCATAGTAAATAATGATGTGAATATGTAAGATTCTTGTAGATAAAGGGGGTAAGAGCCCTGTAGATTTCGCACATGCCTTTGGAAAATTTTCCTGGATGTGCCCGGCATGTAATAAACATACCAGCTCTAATTTTAATTAGTTAGAGGGTTATTTTGTCAGCGTATCAAAACCATGGTATGGAAGAGTAATGGCAGCTTCTCGGGTGCTCCTGTGTAGTCAGAGTTAATGAAATATACCTCTTGGTTTTCTCCAGTGAAGTTCTTCAGTTTATAGTATTTATGGAAAGGAGGTGGAAGAATTGTTTACAGTGCTGGTGAGGTGTGAGGCAAAGCCTATTTGCAGCTGGGTTTTAATACAAGTTGTCCTTTTGTCTTTCCTTTCACCCTCTAGTGAATCCTTATTCTTTCAACTAGAATTCTAGAAATCTTTGTCTCCTGACACAAAAAGAAATCTGGACTAGATCATGGTTTCCTATTTTCAGCAGTGGGTGAATGTTCAACTCCTGGCTAAAATTCAGGTCTTCATCTTTCACATTTCTTCGTATTTCCACTTTAGTGTGTAAGATATGATGAAACATTATGTTAGAAAATAGAAGACAGATTTTCTAATGTGTCTTGTCGTCTTTATCCTCTTTATATTGCTTATTGCAAGAATCCTGGGAAAGCAGCTGTGTCTCTTGCCTCACCTGCTCTTAGCTCTGTACACTACAGTGATGGCAGATCTGGATTTGATTAAAGCATGTCACTCATTGACTATTCCCAAAGCTGTCTTTTAACTGGCACCTTTCTTCTTGTTTCATGATGAGTCCTTGCCTATTACTTGGTACCAGATAGATTATGATGTTCTTTCTCTTTTTCTTTTTTCTTTTTTGTTCTTTTTCCATCTTCCTTCTTCCGTCTTCTTTCTTCCTTCTTCCTTTTTTTTCTCTTTTCTCTTTTTTTCTCTTTTTTTCTTTTTTTTCTCTTTTTTCTTTTTTTTTCTTTTTTTTCTTTTTTTCTTTTTTTTTCTTTTTTTTTTCTTTTTTTTTTCTTTTTTTCTTTCTTTTTATGTGTTATCTTTTGTTTTTATATTCAGATTGGTAGAGCAATTCCTAAAGGCAAGAGGGAAGTAAGGTGTAAAGGATATAAGAGTGTAATAATTGCAATGCAGTAGTGATTTCAACTTCAGTAGGTGGTATTCTCTGTGGTTTCAGGAACTTGCTTGCTGTGTGCTAACTGTTGTCTCTAACTCTGTTCAGGTCCTCTTTTATTGCCTGTGTTTCTACAGCTGATCTATCTGATTTTTTGACACTCCTCCCTGTAGTCCTCACACTATATTGCCTTTGCCTTCTTTAGGTGGCCGTGGCCACACGGCTGAATCCCATCATTCTGGCAGCATCAGTGTCCTTTCTTGAAGTTTCCATGCATTAGGATGAATTTTCTCATATGGTATTAACAGCCATAATGAAGCAGTCAGTCTTCTCTTTCTTCTTTTCCAGTTCTTTTTAGACCTCCTAGCACCTTGGAATGTGCAGCTCAGTTATTGTGAAGTAATCTGGAAGAAGAATCTGTGTTCTGCACGCTCGCTTTCCCTAGATCACAGTACTTGTTATTTATTAGAAATAGAGGGCCTCATGAAATTTATTCCTAAAATTAGGTTCTAATTTATGGCCTTAAGTACAGCAAATGAAGCAAGAAAGAAATGTAGGAGAAGTAATGACAGCACTGTTCTGTAGTTTCCTCATTTGTCTTGATAAGAAAGGTTTTCTAGCTTGTTGGTTGTATGCCTTGGATCAGGAATACAACCTGGAATTAATTTATGCTATAGGGATTTTTCATGATCTTTGACTTACTCTTCTCTAAAGAAACTTGTCCTCCAGGAAAATATCTGGGCAGCTGCATTTGTGAGTTTGCCCACACTTGACTGAAGGCAGGTGTTTCAGAAGTTTGAGTTTCCCAAGGAGCCCTCTGATGTGATTTCCATAGGAACTGTAACTGGCCTAAGCATCTGGAAAATAATCCAGTTAATATCATAGAGCTGGGCAGTGTCTGAAGTTCTGATAGTTCTGAAGCAGTTACCTTTTATGTCTTGCTACAACTTGATATTAACCTTCAGGGCAGTGGGGGGCATGTGACACATGGGACAACATAGGCACTAAATAAGGAAGTGTCACTGCAGTCTCACTTCCCTCCTCTAGCAGAGCTGTCTTCTAATCCTGGATGTCACTGGTTCATCAGGCTAAGACTGCTTTTTTCATACTGATCCAGAACTTAATATAGCATATTCTCAGCTCTGAAATATGTGTAATGTAACTGGATCCTGTGAGTGACTGAAGGAGACTGTAGATAAAACCTTTGTTTCCCATATGGCAGCACAGATTGACTAGAGCAATCCCTTTAGAACTCTTATATTTGATTGTTTTCTGGTAACATTGTTAGTATTCTGTCTGAAATATGAGGCTGACCTACATCAAATAGAAAAGGTTATCTATCATCATACAACCTGTATAAAATCGATAGGAGACTTTCTAGTGCCTAATTTTAAACTAATGAAAGCTGCTGGTTTTATCAGTATTTTTCCAAATTTGTGTATCTTTTGTTTGCAGTGGTGTTGAATATTTGGTCATACTGCCACTGAGTCACTATTCATCATAAGCAAAATTTGTTTGGGGTGATCAGTGGGTTGATTTTTCCTTGGGCTCATGTGATTCCGTTTGCTTAATTGTTTTGGATCGTAGAACTGGACAGCAGAGCTTGAATGACATAATCTCTCTGTGAGGTAATGTGATATTGTGGAGTTTTTTAAAAAACCATTTTCTTTAACCTTCCTAGAAAGAACAAGTGCATTGTGTTTCTACTATCTGATGCAGCTATTCCAGGAGAAAATAATACTTAACAAATTCAGTGCTTAAAGTGATGATGGAATATATTTTATTTGGACCTTGTTGACTATTTCTATTTGCTTCACTCCCCCAGACAAACGTGTTGATGATTGGCCCTTGATGCAGTCTCCATTTCCAACACTGACTATAAGCACTATTTATCTCCTCACTGTCTGGCTGGGCCCCAAATGGATGAAGACAAGAGAGCCCTTCCAGTTACGCTTCCTGTTGGTTGTTTACAACTTTGGAATGGTTCTGCTCAACTTCTTCATTTTCAAAGAGGTGTGTATGCCCTCTTGCAAGAGGGAATTCTTGCTGAGGTTTGAGGATGTCAAAATGAAATGATGTTGCATGTTCTTGGTGTCTGTTGAGAGTGAATGTTTTGCACAGACTTTTAAAGATGAGTTTGCCTTTGAGGTATTTCTGTAAATAGGCAGTTTCTATTTGAGAATAATTGCACTAAATGAGTCTATAGAGAGAATTTGTGTTTGAGATATTTCAAGTTCTTAGATTTGTGTTAGTCTAAATACTGGAGAGAATAAAATCTGTAGATTTAACACCTGTAACTGATACTTTTTTGTTCATCTTAATAATCCTAAAGGGTATCAGAATGTATCTTGTTAGAAATTGAACTGTTTGTTTACACTTTCCATGTGTTAATAATATTTAGAAATCCAGATGTCCGTTGTCTGTAGTGAGAAAAAGTATCTTGTCTGTAAGTTATGTTCAGTAAAAATGAAGTGAGCTGTACCTTTAAATAAAAATAAAAGGATACAGGCTTCTAATATTTGTTTTGCAATGTTCTGAGTGTGTTACTTGTAATAAGTTTCACTGTTGCTGCATTTTTCCTTTGTTGGATTTTCTGCACAGAGGAAATGAATAGTAACACTGCAGTGGATCAGCTGTGTGCAGTAGGTAACTGGGATTACCTAACAGTTTGGTAATTATTATTCAAGGAGAGCTGTGCAGAATATGGCTGATGCTAAGTTTATGCTGCTGTGGCTGCTTGTGTGGATCAGGAGTTGTCTTCCTGGCAGACTTCTGATCATAGATTTGCAAAATCTGTTTCCAGAAGTAAGCAAATGAACAGAGCAGTTAAAATTACAGCATTGCAGAACTGTGTGTTCTGTACTTTTGCCAGGAAAAAATGGCATATATGATGATGATCTACATTTTGACCCTTTCCTAGAGCTTCTAGCATAAAATCATTAATCATAAAATTTCAGCCTCTCTTTAAGACATGGTTTAGTAAAATTTTAGCCATCTTAACTTAAGCATCATTTTGTCTATATTGTTTTCATGGACTATTCAACTAAGTAACAAAGTGCAGCAGGTATAAAAGAATTTAATGCTGACATGAAAGCATATTTGAAGGAAGAGATTAAATCTAATCATCTTGGCAAGCTAAAACTGAAACTCCTGAAATTAATTCTACAGTGTTACTGTCATGCCTGTCTTTTTCACATATTCTTTTAAACTTGTTTGTTTTATCCATAAGCTGAATTATACCAAACTTGCAGTCAAATAATTTTCAGACCTATGTTCCTTATAGGATATGTGCTTTTAGCATTTCCAAGTCACTGAATTAACATGAAGTAGGACTGCAAATACATATTTTTTGTTGATACCCTGAAAGCTCATCACTTTATACACAGTTTCCATCTCTCTCCTAATGTTAGGTTGTTATTCAAGGGATGTGAAGGCAATGGATACAGTACTTCCAGCAAGTGTCTTTTCTTGATCATAGAGACTGATAGGAGGAAGGTGTTCAAGTTTCAGTTGTTCCCTGTAACAAGGCAGTTTCTGCTTCTGAAGTTTACAATGCCACTGTGCCGCTATTGTAATTCACACAAGTCTTAATGTAATTGTTAGGAGTAAAATGATACTGCTTGTATTTTGTGAGCGACTGTAAAATTTCCAGACTCTGCTAAGAACAGAATTTGAATGTGAAACGCCTTTAAAAGTTATTTAAATAACCATCTTGATGGCAAGCTCTTTTGTTCATCTGTGGTAGCTTATGTTAAATAGTAAGTTATAAAGAACTACAATTCTAGTGCAAGACTCATATGCTGAATTCAAATTCAAGTTCAAATTTGGAGCAAATTTTGTTTAGAACATGCAGAAGTCTCAATGGAATAGACTCTATTTTGCCACAAAATCGTGAATTTCTTACTCTACTTCAGGGCAGTCTGGTGACATCAATTTACTGCCTTTTTACCAAGGGAACCTTGGTTGTGTTATCCAGTAGGTCACAGTAGAGATTGGCTGGTTTCTGTAACAGTGCAAACTAAACTTTCCCTTCTTGATTAGTGCTGGATGTGCTTCTGCCTGTGTGGGACCACACTGGAGCTCCAGTTAGTTCCAGTAGTTTGTAAATGGATTTAGATGATGCAGAAGTAGTTCAGTTTGTTTTCTAGGTTAATTTCTGTGGACAGTTCTTTCATTTTCCTCCTTTAACACATATGCAGCAAATAAGTCCAGAGGTTCACAAGCTTTTGTCTGCTGTGGGTTTTTTTTCCTGCATAACACTTGTTTTTGCATTTGACTGCACTCCTGGTGCTGTGTGCAAAATGAAACATCAACTTATACTCAAGTTCAGTTTAAATAAGATGGAAGTCAGGTTTGTGGTAAGACTAGTCAGTGCCTATCCATGACAGGGTCTTTTGAGATCTTTTTCTATCACCCCAATTTATGTCTGCTCCACTGCTATCTCTCTTTGATCCTTAATAGAGTAGTATTACTTAGCTTTAAACATTCTTGGATAATAAAATTTATGAATGTCAAGATTAGAAGTATTACTTGAACTTTGTGCTGCTCTAGAGAAGTGTACTTCTTTCCAATGGAACCTTGCTCAAATGTCAATTTTATCTTCTCCTGTCCAGGTTTTTGCAACGTGCTTAATTTGGAGAGGCCCTACAGAAGCACTTCAATTGCTTTAGGCCATTTTTGTTGGCACAAAATGGGGAACTTTTCTCTGTCCTTTTCTCCTCACTGTGTTTAGTGTGTACTCAGCTTTGGCTGTTCAAAGTGGGGGTGGATGTTCTGGATTTTGATTGTTACACTGTGTTGAGAATTGTAGATCCAAATTATCTAATCCCTGTCTCTTGAATAGTGTTCTCTTGAATCTGTACTGGGAATAGCATTTCTGTCAATTGCAGTGAAAACAATTAGGTATTTTCTGTTTCTAAAGCTAGAGCCATCAGAAGGAATATTCATGTCCAAATAACTTAAGATCATACTAGAATTTGTTGTACAAGGCTCTAAATTATCTGGGCAGATACATGCAGGGAAAAATGAGTACATTCTTTTTAATTGATAAGTAAAAAAATAATAGTAGTCTGTAATAATCGGTTGTTAGTACTAAATATTTGCTTTCTTCAATAGAATTCTCAGGACTAGAAATTTTTAAGTATTTCTGTTCAGGTAAGTTTGATGTAGCAAGAAATTTGCTGATAATTGTCATAAATGTGCTTTATGTATTATATTTCCCCTCATGTATGGCTTTAATATTTTCAGTTGTTCTTGTCATCAAGAGCTCGAGGGTACAGCTATGTCTGCCAGACTGTGGATTATTCAGATAATGTTTATGAAGTTAGGGTGAGTATTTCCTTTTTGTATTTGTATATGAATGTGTGTAATCTCTAGCACTACATGATGGTTTAAGGCTCTTCTGGAAACAGTGTTTCCACAGCTGCTGTCAGCCATGACTGTATCCCGTTACATCCTCACAGGCCACCTCAGGTTTGACTACATCGTACGTAGCAGGTTTAACCAAAGTGCATCAGCATGTTTGTGCTAACTTTGATCTGACTGCTGCAAGTAAGGGGAGTCTAAAGATACCATCCTTGGCTTCATGCACAGTTGTACAATCCAGGGTAACCTTTGTGTGCGTACTTTGGTTCCTAGATTTGCTGAAGTTTGGGATACCAGGGTAACCACAGTAAAGGTGGTGTGTTCTAGCTAGATCAAAGCAAATAAGATTTATCATCTTGTGGTTGCACTTCACCCATACTGGTGAGGCAACTTTTTGTCTCCTTTACCCATGTTTGCTTTATGAGGTCTTGCTGGCATTTGGCAAATGTATTATCAGTATATTTCATTGTATAATCTTAGATTTCAAATATCTGGGTTTTGGAAAACATCCAAATTAAAAGCAAAGTGCACATCCTTGTTCATTTTCGTAATGCTGTTGATTAGCTCATGTGCTGGACTTTATCTTCCAGCTGAGCTGACACTTGAGAATCTCTCAGCTGTTCTTGCAAGTTTCATGTACAGATTAGGACATGTTTCTGAAAATGCAATGAAAGTATGGGTTATGTTTGTAGTGGTTTGAAAAATGTTTGTCTGTGTGGTGGCTATTCATGGATAGTGTTAGTCAAAAGCTTGTGCATGTGGCAGGATGGCAGTGAGAAGGAAAGGTTTGAGCCTTAGACCATATTTATAATGACTGATAATGCAGAACAACTCTGTGTAGATTTTTATTTGCCTTATGGTAGCTGCCAATCTTTCACCTTTGCAAATACAGTGCTCTCTCTATGTCAGTCAATAGAATGATTCTGTTAAAAATTTTGTTGAAAAACAAGATCTAGAAAAGTGTAGCAAGTGCTTGACAGGTTTGGGGTTTTTCATAGATAAGGAAAACAGAATGCCCTTGTACTTAGCTGAATGACATTGAGGACTGGTGTGGTGTATGTTGAAAGAATTTTTATATTAGCTAAATACAAGCAGTACTCTGTTTCATACCCTCACTTTTACAAGGTGCACTTGTTTGTGGGAGGCAGTGGAGAGGTCAGACCTGCTCAAAAGAATTATCATCCATTTTTGTTTGTTATGACAAGCACAGCATTATAATACAATAAAATAAAGGCAAAATGACTTGAAGAATGTATTTATACTATGTCCAGAAAGAAAGGGTTACTCTAACAATATATACTTTTTTGACTTCCTGAATTTTATTATTTTTTAAATTTTTTTTTAAAATTATTTCCCAGATTTGTGGATTTGCATAAAACGTATCCCACAAGTTTTAAGTTGTAGCATGTTCAGTTTGCATCTGAGGGAGGTGAGGAAGGAGGGAAAAATTGAGTCTTTTCAAGTTGCTGCAGCAACTGCATAGTATGCTATCAGTCAAGATTCTTATCTTAATAATTTTCTGGTAGTTGTTTTGAAAGAATTCAAAGTTTAGGTAAATAAGTTGCAAGTAGAAAATTATACTTTCCACAAGTGTGCATCATCTAACTGAGGATTCTGAGACACATTTCTGTCTTGCTATACTATCATGCTCTGGATTTAGAAGGTATGTTGTTTTTTGACACTGTCAAACCAAACAAAATAAAAACAAACAAACAAAAAAAAATCCAAACCCTTCTCAAGATTTCTTTCACCAACATTTTCATAATATAAACCTGCAAAAGCAATTTTAAAGTGTTTTTGCAGTTTTGAGTGTAGAATTGATTTCAGCATTTTCAGCACATCCTTCATACCCTTTTAATAGATCTAGATACTAAATGTCTAGCTTTTATTGGCACAAGGTTTTCTCTGCAGAGAAATGCTGCACTGCAACAGTAGAATCAATGACAAGTGCAATGACCATATTTGCAAGGGAATGAGTAAATAAATGCTGTGTTGCTCAGATAAAGAAGACTGGGACTAACTCACATGGAAACAGCACTGAGCCCAGAAGGCATTGTGGAACATGCTCTGAAAAGCAGAGCTTCATATATGACTGTAATTTGGGGCTTTGATATTTGGAACAAATATTGAGAAAACTAATATTGAAAAACTGAAAACTAATTGTATCTAGCGGTCTAAAGGGCAATGTAGGAGTCTTGGTAGGGCCTCTGTTTCTGGCTTTTTTGGGAATGTGTCGCTGTGATGTTGCCATCACATTGAGTGGCCTCTTTTATGTAAAGCTCTTGATCAAAATAAGGGGTCAAGAAACCATCCTTTGTCCTTCAAGAAAGTATAGAGAGCTCCCAGAAAGCAGTTCCCAACCCACATCATGTATCAAGACAGTAAGCCAGTGATTTTAAGGGAACAGTGTAAGGGCATGTGGTGGCACTTTCCCTGTACAGTTTAGCAGCACAGCAACCTGTAGCTCAGAGACCTCTTAAGTCAGACATAGCCTCTTTGGTTTTGCCAGTCTTTAGGGGGATATTTTTCCATGTATTTGTCTGTATATTTTCTTCACCTTTATTGATCTTCTGGTTTTCACTTATAGTTAATTGTGTGGGTAGTTTGCACAAAATGTGGAGAAGTTGATCCCTGTGCTTACTGTTTTGAACCTACCTGCACGTGTTAATCTCATTCAGTCTCCCCTGGCTGTTCTACAAGAAACAATGGACAACTGGAGCAAGCAGGGATGAAAATTACAGTTGCAGATGAAAATCCCCAGTTGCAGAAACATTTGCTGAAATAAACTCCTTTGTGAAGGACTTACCTGATGAATGTAGTGGGTAGCCACTGTACTGACTGCTGGCAGGAAGTTGAGTGGTAGTGTTATGAAAAAAAAATAAATGTTCATAGTAGACAAGAAAGAAAAGAGGGACCAAACCTCTAAGAAAGTATTTAGAGGGATCTACAGATGTGTCTTGCAAAAATTTTTTTTGGTTATAGTTTAAGAGTCAAAATAATAAATAAAAAGGCCTGAGATGTTAAATCCATGTTTTGTAGTACTCCTTTGGGAACCTCAGTATTTGAAGTGAACAGTTTTGTAGCTCTAAATTAATGTATGCTGGTATCTGTAGGTAGTCATATTCCTCCTCTTGTTTCCCAGGTCAAAGTTTATCTATTTTATTAGCACTTCTGAAGAGCTAACTTACTTTAAGCGTGCTGATTCTAATCATGAAGCCAAGCAATGGTTGTTTTGTGTATTGTAATTGTAATCTGCATTGTTTGTGTTTATGTGTAGAGCTTTGAGTGGTTTCTTCTTATGAAAAAGACAAATTCACAAATTCTATAAACAAAATTCTAAAACTGAAAGAGGGAGAAGGGTTCACTATAAAAGCTTATTTTAATTTTTCACATTGCTGTGACTTTCCAAGTAGTACCTGTCCCTTCATAACCCTTAATGGATAAACGTTTCCAACCCAAAATGAGGGAGAATGGTGCAGAAACAGAGTCCTGTAATAAAACAGCCCTCCAGTCAAAAACCCTGCAGCAGGCAGAGGACATGGGATTGGACCTCTTGTTGAACCTCTTAATCCTAGGCTGTAATGTAATCTTTCTGTGCCATCTGGTGTTTTAACAGACTTAGATTGGTACGCATGAAAATTACCAGAAAATATATGGTTGTGACTAGTATTGTTCATTACAACAATGTGTCTTTCTAATGGATGTTTCCTTTTCTTTTCAACTAAATCTTTCTTACATACAATGTCCAAAGGCTACACGTTAGGTCATGATTTCTGCTGCTTTGCAAAACAAGTTTAATAGTAGCCACCTGCTCCTGACATAGCTTACATACCAGTGTATTGTTCTCCTCTATTTCTGCCCTTTTTCACTGCTTTTATGCACAGCCTCAGGCAAATGACTTGACATCTGTTTCATTTTTTTCTGTAAGCTAATGATGAGAACATCTGCAGAAGTGACTGGAAGTACTGAAATAGATCATCAGTACACAAAACCTATCAGGTTTGAGAGTAAATGGTAGAAAATTTGATGATAGTAAGAGAGCAAAGAAGCTGACAGGCAAAAAAATCTACAGGAACACAAAATCAGCAGGTATAATCCTTCAAAGAATCCTGTTGTTTTTCTTAAGTGATGGGAAGCATTTTGATCAAAATTTCAGATTATTTTTACCCGTGCACTGTAATTGCTTTCTGTGCTAGGTGGAGTGTGACCTTTCCAAGAACATATACTGAACTTGTGGCACTTTGGGTATAAGACACAAATATTTTTGTAGGATTTTTATATTTTCCTCTATGTCACAGTAAATTGGCTATTTGCTTGTTGCCTATTTGACTTATTGTTCCCCTGTTTGATACAAAAATGTTCATTTAATTTATAAAAGATTTTATGGCAGCTTGCTTGTAACTGACCTACTGGTTCTCTAGAAGTTCCTTTGAGGGGAGGACCTCCAAAGAGCTCGAGTATTGCAGTGCTAGATTGTCATTTTATGGATATACAGTCCAAAGTGTTTATTGTTAACTTGTGAAATGAAAAGATGCTTATCTTAATTTATTTAAAAGATGCAACTTTAGCAAAGACCTGTGAAAGATGCTGGACTGTTATGCTAACCCATTGGGTGTGAGACAAACCTTGATGTGGGTGTCATTAATTACCTGACTGCCTGTCCCAGAGGCAGTACTGGATATTGAGAAATATATGCATATATATATGTGTATATAAATATACATATATATGATTCTTGCAGCTTGCCTGTGTGTCTGGGAACTCCAAGATCTGTGGGAGTCACTTTTCTGTCATTAAGCCTCTCTCCAGCTTTAGATATTAATATCTCTTTGTGTAAAAGTGAAAAAATCTGCCTGCTCTTCCCAAGACCTGAAGTGGGCTCAATCACATCCAGAGAGTGAGAAGTTCATTAACAGGTACTTGGAAGGCTGCAGTTTGGCATCAGTAAGATGTGCAGTCCCTCTGGGAAACTGCAGAGCCTGCAATGCAGATATGTAGCACTCTTCTCCAATGCTGCATTTTTGCCTCTGCTGTAATTTCTCCTAAGCTGTTCACCAGACCAGTTATGGCTATGACAAACTTAGTCTGTGGAGAGATGCTGTTCTGTCCCACTGGTTTGGAGAGGTGGAGGAAAACACCATGCAGAGCTATAGCATTGCTCTCTACAGCTCTTTATAATTCCCCTTTGTCTCACCTAAAAATATGTGTGTAGTTGGAAAGGGAAGCTACTCCGTGTTAACTTTCTTTTCTTCTGTCTTCCCTGGACACTGAGGGGGTGCTAGGGTTATTTCATACCATATTAAGTTGAGAAAGTCTGGTTCACCATCAACTGGTCCAGAAAGACAAGGCTAACTTCTTACAAATAGGTGTGTTGTGACATTGCCTGCTCTCCTTGCTGGTGGTACCAATTCCAACTTTTTTTTTTTTTTTCCCCACTCCTGTGTGAGTCACCATCTGGTCCCACCCTTGCATAACAAGCTAGATGACTTACAATGCCAAAACTAGACTTGTTGCTATGTTTTGGGATCTGGGAGGGAGTCCTTACCGCCACCATACTTCCATATCATAGCATTAGCATATTGCTACACAGAGCTTCTTGGTTTAACTTGCTTTGACAATATCCTAATTTCAGCAGGAAGCCCTGTTTATGTTGCATCCTGGGCAAGATGCATTGTGATGGGTGGATTAGAAAAAGAATTTTGGGTGTGTAGCACTTCCCTATTGGGTAGATGGATTATATCTGTTCAGTTTTCATGCCTCCTGTGGTCTCTTTTTTTTCTACTCCCTGAATAGCAGAGAGCTACTGGGGGAATGCTGCTGTAGAGAAGGAGTTACTGAGCAGGGCAGAAGAAGCTGAGGGAATAGTGCTATAAGGAATGTGAAATCTGTACTGCATCTAACTATTTTTTGATACCTTTCCACCCCTATGCCTGTGGTACTGAAGGTTTCCCCTTTGCAGCTTCATTTATCATAATGTTTTTTGCCTTATTGTTCTGACCACATCAGTGTTGCCTCATTAGAAAGGGAAGCCCTGTGGGAGACGATTTCTGCAAAGTTTAGGAGAGAATGAGGACACAAACTTCATGTGTTTAACCAGTGAACTGTTCAGATATGGCAAAGCTTTTAACTATATCAGCTCTTTTTTACAGATGTGATTTGTGAGCAGTTGGCTCAGAATAATCTTCCTCCATAATCTTCTTCCATGTCCAGAATAGATGAAATGAATATTTTTTTGTTTTTCTCATACTGTTAGATGTTTGACTCCACCTCAACATTTAACCAGGATTTAGGGAAGGAAGAGGTATCCTTCTCTTAGAGCAGATAGATGGTGAGAACTTTATTCCATTCAGCTTGGAATCTCTAAAACTTATGGATTCTCTGTTTTTCATTGCAGATAGCTGCTGCTTTATGGTGGTATTATGTTTCTAAAGGAATTGAGTATTTGGATACAGTATTCTTCATCCTGAGGAAGAAATTTAACCAAATTAGTTTCCTTCATGTCTATCACCATTTCACCATGTTCACCTTGTGGTGGATTGGTATCAAGTGGGTTGCAGGTGGACAAGGTGAGTTCCCTTCCCCTCATTTGCTTTTGACTGGGTCAGAGGAAGAATTATTATTGTTTGGGAGCAGTAGAAGAAAATTTTATAGACTTGACTTTATAATATACAAAACTGTTTATTAATGCATACAGTCTCCCTCTGTGGGAAATATGGGGGAGGAAAAGATAGCAGGGCAATAATCTAATGAATTGCAAAACTTCTTTTCTTTTCCTCATGAGCATCAATTGCAAGCCTGAAGTGCTGCCTTTCAAAGTATCTGTGTCTGTGTGAAACAGAAGATGTGTGTCTTGCTTAACTTAAATTTTTGCAGATACAGGGAGCTGAAAAATCTAATTGTGGGCAACATTCTGTATGCAAATTTAATGAAGTCAGTGGAGATGTTATTTTGGCATTGCATATGAATTTGAGGTTTACTTTTATTTTTGTAAGAAGCATGTATAAAATTCTGAAACCTTCCCTTGGAGTTCAGCCAATAAATGTCAAATCACTTTTGAAACCTATTCAAAATGACACAAGTCTAAACTCATTATCAGCCTTTTTTTTTTTCCTTGCTTCCTTGCTAAAGCCTCCATCAAATAATTTTATTATTGCATTTGCCACATTTTTAATTGTCTACACTGTACTCTTGTTCCTGTTGTTTAGCCTTGTCTCTCTCAAATTGAAAGCTCTGCAGATCTGAGGGTACAGGGAAAATGCCCTGTTTTGTTTGATGTGTGCTTTGTAGGCTTGCAACACTGAAAATACCATATAGTAAACACAAAATACCATATTATGAACGCCAAACTAATATTTTGGGTTTGATTTTTGGTTTTTTTGAACCACACTAATACTTAATGCATGGGGGGGTTTATGCTCCCATTTACTATAGATAGTGTGTACTAATTGCAAAGAAGAAATAATGTAAATTTAGTATCTGTGACTGCCTTTTAATTTCTCTCAGATAATATGCAGGAAGCAGGTACTCAACCAGATATTTAATGATCTTTATTTGTAACTGCACCTATAAAATAAGACTATTGGAGACTGGATGGTTACTTGTAGTCTTGCTGAGAAATTCCCTGGATATCTCAAAAGGCCCTCTCCCTTGTTGCATTTACAGAATTTTCATCCTAAATATCAGCAGTTTTTAATACCACAGTTGCAACTATTTCTAAATTTCTTTCAAGTTTTGGTGTTCTAGCACTGCCTCGTAGCTCCTAGAGCCTGCAAAAGGAAAAGCAGCAGTTGCTTTTCTGCATTTGTGTAGCACCACTGCATAAATGTGGATAGATCTGTGTTCTTCTGTTTTCTAGTTGATAGCACACTGCTTACATAGACAGGTCTATTATGAACTAGACCCTATTTTAACAAGTGGGTCCAGGCCACACGGGCATCTGAGCTGTTTGATGTCAGCAGCTATTGTCTGTATTGCCCTAATCTTACACATTAGAGCATTTTTGAGCCACTCTGTCACTGTAAGAATACCTTAACAAGATATAATGTGTTTCTGTTAAATGGCTGCTAATCTTGACAAAGCAAAGAGGTCTTAATGCAAATGAAACTGTCAACAGGGGTCTAATATGAATCATTCTGGAAAATGTTCTGCTATGCACTGATACATATATAAAAGTATGCTGGGTATTTTAAATCATAAAGAAACGAATGATTATTAATTTAGACAAACTCACCTGGCAATGCCTTAAAGTTCTTATAAACACGAGTCAAGTTTTGTTTTGTGTGGGCTTTTTTTGGCTTATTTAATCAGACTTCCATGTGAGTTTCTTGACTTCCTGCTGAGAAATGAACCTTTTGCTTTTAAATACAGTTTAAAAGATTTAAGTTTGGAGCCTGGTACTTTGTACTTTAGATTGTCAAATTAAGCTTGTAATAATCCTTTGGAAAAACCATTGCAGTTACACTACAACAACCAATGTAGAATTGATGTCATTTATGTCTGTTCAACAGAAACCGAAAAGCTTTGGCATAAGTAGTTACGTGGAAGATGTGACATACTACTTGCATTTACATTTGTTTGTGTCAGCACATGTTGGCAGCCTGTACTATACATTAGACCATTATAGACAAGTCTGAATTATACTGTTCAATATTTTGGAGATGGAATCCTGACATATCCTGTGCTTTGTAATTTTTACTATTAAAAATAACGATACAAGTAATACTAGGAGAAAAATCCTCCTTTTCCAAAATTACATGATGGTCTTTCCTTCTGTTCCTGGACAGCTTTTTTCGGAGCTCAAATGAATGCATTTATACATGTCATTATGTACATGTATTATGGATTAGCAGCTTGCGGCCCTAAATTTCAGAAATACCTGTGGTGGAAACGATATTTGACCATATTGCAATTGGTAAGTAAAATTCCTCCTTTTGGGATAAAAGATGTTGCCTCTGCCTTGATTTCCATTTGCAGAGCTTTGGATCAGATGCTGCTTCTTCCAAAAGTTCTTCTCTGTCTGACACTCCTCAATTAGAGTACTTCCTGGAGGTGGAAGCATTTATTCAGCTTTGAAAAAAAATACACAGCATAGTTAACTGTTGTGTGAGTTAAAGTCTAATGCTTCCTTGCTGGTTGTTTCAATTGAATAACAAAAAGGTGTTCAAAATGTAGAGCTCACTTATTATCTTCTTATTATCTTCTCATTATCTTCTCATTTTCCTGTTTCTGAAAACTGGTGCCAGATACTACAATAAATTTGGTGTTCCTGGTCAAGCATGGATGTGCCTGCAGGAATGTGACAGCCAAAGATAGCTTCCCTACCACCTCCCAATTCAGCAGTTTTCATTACTTAATGAATCGGTATAAATGGATGCACCCATACCTACAGAATATATCCAGACGTTTTTGATTCTATATTTTCTGTCTTTCAGGTGCAGTTCCATGTGACTATTGGCCACACAGCCTTGTCTATTTATATTGATTGTCCTTTCCCTAAATGGATGCACTGGGGTGTCATTTTCTATGCTGTCACCTTCATTTTCCTGTTTGGTAACTTCTACTATCGGACATATAAGCTGCCCAAGGAACCTGTAAAGAATGGCAAAATAGCAAATGGTGCTGTCGCAAATGGAGTAAGCAAACCAGAAAATAATGCGGTGGTGGAAAATGGAAAAAAGCAGAAAAAGGGAAAAGCAAAAGGAGAGTAACTTGATCCAGGCCTTAACCATTGTTGGCAGTGAGGAACCTCCAGTTTGGTTTATAAAAGGAAGAAAAAAAACACTATCTGTACCAATTAACCTTAGGTTACTGAAGAGCTAGAACACAGATATTTTCATTATTTATGAAGATTGTTTTAAGAACAACACTAAAGTTGAATTTCTATTGTAATTATGTAATTATCATGCATATGGTCTCTGTGTAAACTTGTAGACTGCTGGTGTTGGTGAATGTAAGGAAGAATTGCAGTTGATTCCATGTTTAGCAGTCCAAAAGTTAATGCTACCATTGATACAGGCACCCACATTTCTTGGGGGGGGGGGTGAGGGGAAGGGGAAGGAAGTAGCATTTGAATACTTGTGCTTTCTTTCCAGAAAATTATTAAATTTCAAATTATGACGTATTATCTAATCAGAATGCGCAACTTTTCTTGTCCTCCTTGGAGAGTACCTTCACAAAATATGTGCTGTCAGAACAGTGTTTGACTTTTCAGACATTACTTGATTTAATTGAGTATCTGTTACAGTTTGGTTTTTGTTTTATTATTTTTTCTTGTGTGGAAATATACCTACCTCTTCATCTGCTGAAAAGAATATTGAGCATTAAATAACTGGTTTCTGAAATATGGACTCCTCTAATCTAAATATCTATTAATACTAATTCAGGAGAACGTGTGTTTCCTTGTGGGAGTAAAAGGGATTTTTGGTGATATCCTTTGATCAAGTCATCATTTTAATGTCAGCTGAAATTTTGGAGTGGTACTTTTAGTAGAGTCAAGTCAAGAATACATTTTAACAATGTATAAATATGAATGAATATATTGGTTGAAGCAAGCAGTAAAAAATAGGCTTGCTGCTTGTTGTCCGTGACCTGCATTAAATCTGTGGTACTGACTGATACTCAAAATGGTAAGATAATGCTAGGGTGGAGAGAAAACAGCATCTAATTCCATTTCTGAAATGTTGTGTGCATGGGTAGTCATGCTAACTAAAAGACTAACCATCACTTTCTTGGGAGAGAGAATTTGGTTTTAAAGTACTAAATACAGCAAACATAAAACATTGAAAATGTTGCTATTGCTTGATACCTGTCAAAACTCTGTTAGACACTTCTAGACAAAGTATTGCTGATAGACAGGCCACCATTTTAAGTCAAAACTGCTAAAATAATTAGAAACTTTCAGATGGATTTTCATTTACATGTTACATAAAGGGCTTTTTACCATTCCTTTTGTGAAGAAAACAGGGAAAGATTTTTACTCCTTCTGAATAATGTGATTACTAAGAGATACATTTTGAGCTGCTTAGCATGCAATGAATAGAAGATGGGTGGAATTAGAAACTATATCCTGAATTACTGTGTTCCTTGGCCCTCGCTGCAAGAGCTGCATTGTTACTGTCCAAATGCATTCCCCCCCACCCCAGCTCTGGCCAAAAACATACCCAGAGGTAGCAACAAACATACATCTGGCAAGCGGCACCATTGGTGCAGAAAGTGTACACGGAACTGAGTGTAAAGTGGGTGACACGTTTAACTGAGTTTTGCGTCTCAGTCATCCATTGACTGGTTATAATATGCAAGCAGGTCACATATTCTGTGTCTCAGGTTTGTCTTGTCTCAAAAAAAAAAAAAATAAATCTAAACTCAGAAAACAGGTCCTAGGAAAAACAGTTTTGGGTATAGTCTTTTGTAAATAAACAGTAATTCCTAATGCTGGAGTTGGTTCAGCTGGAAGGTGGTTCATCCCTAATCACCACCACTGTGGATTTTTGGGCAGAATATAGGATTGTGAAAAACTGTCTCTGCTGAACTCAAATGCACGTGACCATTAAGTTTCTTATCTGCTGTGTCTTTTGATTCTTCCAGCCTTTGTAATGATGCTTTTTGCATTTGTAGAACTGCATATTTATGTAGTGTGGCATGGGGAAGAGGGATGGTGATCTACCCTTCCTTCTTGGACAAATGCCACTACCCTTAACCAAGCCAAAATGCTGGCTGACTCAGTAAATTTGGAATGGCTAAAGGAGTAAATAACTACAAAGCACATTTACAGCACACCTGCTACTCCAAGGTAGTGATTGGTGTGAGTACAGTTACCCTCCTGTAATTTCAAAGTCAAATACCCCACTGTGATTAAAGGGTAGATTCTTTCTATTTGCCATGGGATTTGGGCAGCTAACTTCTGAATCTGTGTCATTCCTTGAATCGTGTTAAATTGGTTGTTTGCTCTGTCATTCATTCAATAAGCCAGATCAGCTAAACTGATGCTCTTAATGTGATCTGGCTCTGCAACAGCATACTGGGGAGTATTCCATGCAGGTTCAATTGTGTCTTTGCTCCACTTTCTGAGTTAAGAATTATGTCTTGCATGACGTTAAATATTTAAATAAATGAAAGTCAAATTTTTTCTCCCCCTCATCATGCATGGAAGTGGATTAAAGTTGATTGCCACTTGAACCTTGTTGACAGAGCTAGAGTAGAAGCCTACTGTCAAATGCTGGGGTAATTCTAAGAAAACATGAAAAAGCTCACTGTGAGAATGCATGTGTATGTACACATCATGTTGTCTGGCCCTGTGCATAAAACCAGTTTGAGAGATTGCCATTTCATGGGAAAAAAAGCCCAGTTATTAAATTACTGGAACACTGCTGTTTTGAGAACATCTTTTGCAGTATGACTTTCCTAGGTCTATTTATGATATATTTGATTGTTCATGTAATTCAAGTCCCATTACAATCTTGAATATAATGGCCTTATTAAATGTGCATTTTTGTAGGCATGGTCTTGAGTGCAATATTTCTGTTTTGACTATGCAGCCAGACTCACAGAATACAGGGCTGAACTTGTACAGCTTTTTGTTTTTCAAAATATGAGGCAATAATGCACATGTGAAATACTGACAGATTCATTAGTGTCATCTTTGAATCTGAGGAACCTTAAAATTTTGCCATGAAAGTATGTATAAATATGTGTATTTTCTATACACAGTACTGAAATTCAAATTATACAATCTTTTGCAGTACTATTACTCTTTACAGGGTTATTGGGATTTTGTTTTTCTAAATCCTTTCAATTTATTGAAAAATTAAATTCAAACCATTTGAAACTTATTTTGCCAATGAATGATAATTTTTTTGCTAAGAGTTCTGAAGCTCTTGGACCAGAGTCTCTAAATATTTGATGCCATATAAGTAATACCATTTAATTTAGCCTCATCTCTAGCAATGACAGTTGTTGGATTACTTTAGCACTTTTTCAGTGTAAAATTAAATACAAATTATCTATACATGTGTGTATATATGTGTACACATACATAGTGTATGTGTGTGTGTATATATGTATGGGTTCTTAGCAGATTCTTTCAATATGTGAAGTAAATTACATTTCTTGAATGTGAATTTGGCAGGAGCTAATAGAATGATTCCTACAGCTCCAGCAGTAAAATGAAGCAGTTTTTGTTCCACAGATCCTATATCAGTCTTGCAAACATAAATAGTATTTGTCAGTGATTTTAGACATGGGATGGCAGACAAGACAGAGCCATTTCTACCAGTGTAATAAATATTTTGAGGCATCAGTTGTAGATTCTGAGGGGAGGGATCTCAACTCAGGGTAGCTGGGGAATTATGCTGTATTATAGTAGGGATCGTTTTAGTATGAATAACTTGCTCCAGGTGAGTCTTTGAAATCATTGCAATCATATTCTCTGTTCAGAAAACTTCTAAAAATAAATCACAGAGTCATAAAACTATTTAGGTTGGAGAAGACCATTTAGATGACTGAGTCTAACCATTAAACAAATGTTTCTCTGTAAGTTCAAAAGCATGGCCTATTTGATTTCAGGACCATCAATTACTTCCAGCTCCAGATCAGGAGAGAAAGGTGAAGGCAAAATGAAAATGCTGCACATTTTTTTCAGGTTTACCTAAGGACACATTTCTTCAGAGTAAACACTTGAACTGCATGTGCTGGGAAGGGAGGCAAGAAAGGACAAATAGCTTTTATGATGCGAGATGTCAGCCCTAAAATAGCTTACAAGCACTAGCTATCTCTTAAAAACTTGAGTAAAACTGTTCCTGGTGCATCAAGTTAAACCTTGATTGAAGCTAGTATGGGTTGAGAGTCATATTTAAAATGGGATCTATTTCAGTTAAAATTGAAGAGAATGGGGAGCTAATTAGCTATCTGAATAGTGTATTTCTCTTGGTTAGAAACACAGACTTGTCTAATTTGATACCTAAAGCAAGGCACCCATATGACATCTCAGTGCACTGCAGTCTGATGTGCCGGCCCCTTTGCTACTGTAAGCAGAGGGAGCTCCATGGAAATGCGTGGGTTGGTTCCCATTTACCTCAGCAGAGTACGTTTTGAGCACTAAAGAGCAGAGAAAATACTCGCTTTCTGCCAATATCCCAGGAGGATTGGGGGAAATGTATGGTTCAGGGTGCTGCTTTTGCATAAGGTGTTCATGCTTTTGTAAACATTAAAAATAAACATTACTTTTTTCATGCTGTTTGAGTTTGGTTTTATACATTCTGTAGTATGTTCTCTGTGTCCCATCTTACATCAAGATGCTTGCTAATTTCAGTGTTGTGCAGATCGTGTGATGTAATCTGTTTTGTTGCCCAGGACTTTGAGAAAATCATTTTTGTGGCACATCCTCCCATTTTAAGGTTACAGGGACTTCTTAATTTTGAATATTGTCCCCAGATAATAGTGGAGTGGCTTTGAAATCACCCTTAGGAAACTGACTGAAAATTGTCAACTTAAAACAACAACAAAAGATTCCCAGGTTTCCTTCTTTGGTCTTGGAAGTGTTAACAATTAGGAATACAATTAGCCATGAAGTTTAGCTTTTGATGGACACTGTGTGGTGTTAATGAAGTGTCTCATTCTGGAGAATCTGGAGCACTTTTGGCATTAGGTGCAGTTTGTGGTTACATGTGCTGGGTACAGTAGGTCCCTTCACTGTCTGCCAAGCATGATCTCTGTAATCAACCTTATAATATCAAGTTGCACCCATGTTGCTCTCCTAGAATCTCAGTGCAAATAGCTACTCTGGATGTCAAGTAGCAGAGAATCAAGTCTGCCATCATAGCAAAATATGGTGTGGTCAATTATATCTTGCACAATTCTCAGCTATTGCTTCAATCCATTGCTTACATCCTCCCTGGAATCAGAAAATACACCAAGTGTTCAGAACAAGATTTGTCCTTTAGATGATTAACATGTGCTGGGGTAGGCTCCCTCTGCAGGCATCTTTCTATTATGAAAACATAACTGTTTTCCCCACCAGTAATTAAAAATAAGAACGTGATCAGATTCATCAGATGATTGGCTAGAATAGACTGGATCCTCTGATGTTTGATTTTCTTTTTTGCATCACTTGCTTCTTAACATCTGAGAAATTGGGGTTTGGTGGGGGAAGGGTTTTATTTCCTGTGTTCTTGCACAGCTCAAGGCACTGGGTGAACGTGGGCTATTCTCAGACACGCACATGAAACATGTACTCCAATTTGAAGCTTTGAAGGCAGAGCCTTCTATGGACTGGTGCCTTTCAGTGTCTTTTTTTGCTTGGACTTCTAGGTCACCTCGTGAATGCAGGCACACTTTTCTTTTGACTGCCTGACATGTCAGTGACATCACATTTGACTTAATTACAAAGATACTTATTGATGGGTAAGTTTGTCTCTTGATCATCCAGGCCCTGATCAGTGCACAGTATAAAACAGTGCAGTTCCTGCCAGAGCACCACACAGTCAGTGCTGCTTGGAGGGAAAAAGCTATTTGCATTTTGATTCAGTGGGTGGGAATTGATAACAAGCTCGTATGGCATCGCTGCTATCTGTCAAATCAATGTCAGGTAGGTTTTAGTGTGCTAAACAAAAAGAAATCTTTGATTTTTGAAACGATTCAAACTGCTTTCTGTCCTTATCCTTAGATAGAGAACTATTGTTCTTGCAGTGGTATAGCCTTAATTTGTTTGATGAGGAAACTGCTGTTAGGCTAGTATTTTTTACAGTGTGTTTATGAGAGAAAACTAGAGAAATACAAGAAACAACTTGGGCCAAAGCTAGAGAACATGAGGTAATTTCTCCTCTAGTTTTCGCTGTTGCCCCTAGGTGTTGCAGGAGTTAAATGACTACTCTGTAACTATTACTGCTGTGTGTTCATTACAGATGCTGTAATGGTATACAAGTAGTATACAAGTTGCGCATAAATACATTCTGAAGCACATAAAAGTTTGCTCTGTCTTAGATGACAATCAAGAGAGTGATTGGAGTGAAAGTAATGACAAGCATCGTACTCCTGCATTGGCAGGATTCACTTTGTATTTTCTCAATAATCTTCAGAGCTTCTGAGTAGCTTCTTGCAGTAAACAAAGCCCTTCAAAGCTGAAAATTGCTGTATAACTGCTCAAAGCCTGTTTTTACAGAGCTTCTGTTACTGCTTTGTTTCTTTTTTGTACATGTATCTTCAGGTCAGGTGCTTGCTTACTAGATTATTCCAGAGTGGGATAAATGTCATAGATCTTGTAGTAGCTGCAAGCGAGTAAAATGTTAAAACAAACTTTGGGGTGTTTTACAGTCAAGGGTTTGAAGGCCATGGCATCATTTGTACACTGGCTTCACCTCAAATGCCACTCTAGGGCACAGGGTACCCAGCCTGATAGGAATTCTTCTTACTGAGCAATAGATTCTCACCTGGCAATTGGTGTCTGACCTGGTTTCCGCACATTTGGCAGACGGCACAGAAGAAATCCCTGGGCCAAGGAGGAATGGTGGTTTTTTGTAGTTCTACCTGTTCTCAAAACATCAAACTTGGCAGGAGTTGTTGGAACATTTTCTGCTGACAGCAAGAGGTACAGAGTTTGAAGAAAATGTGTCCCTGGATTCAGTACTTGTAGAGAGCCTGGCATGCTTTTCAGTTCTTAGTTGCATGACGTAAACCAAATATGCTGGAACTGCTCCAATTAAATAGGAAAAAACCCACCACATTGTTAGGATTTAGTCAGAAAATGAGATTTTAGATAATAGCTAGTTCTTTACTGAAAAAGTCCCCTTTTTTCCTCTTTGTCCTCTTGAACCACTGTGCAGGCCTTTCTGCTCTGCTAGAGTGGCTCTGTGGATGAGGACTGAGATGTGTGTTCAGGGAATAGGTTACTGCTGTGATTTGTCACTGGGGCATGTGAAGTGACTTTTCTGGCAGTCTGAAATGCCAAATAGCGGCTGCACAGTCTGAGCAGGTTGAGTAGTAATATTTTTCAATTAATGATCTCAAAACTGGGTGTTCTGGATACAACAAACTAAGAGAAAGAACAGCTTTTATTCAATTTTTTATTTTATTTTTTATTAATTTTTGTCTTCCTGCTTAACAAATACAGGGCTACAAGGACAAACTCCAGTACTGTATTCTATGATATGAAGGCACAGTGTACATTCATAACCAGAGCTTTTGGCTGTGAGAAACAGAGTTTACTGCGCTATAAAATCACCTTGTTAGAGATTTTATACTGAGCTTTTCTGTGATGACAATTTAATAAATACTAGATTTTGATATAAATCTGACTTTAAGGTATTTTTTATTTGAGTCAGGTAAGTTTTCTTGCACAGGTAAAATCCCTCACTGTGACTTTTGATGCTTTTT